GGCCAGGTCAGGGCAGCACAGTGGAAGGATATTGTCGTAAAGTCGGTCAGCCACAGAGTGGAGAGGGGCGGGGTTCAGGTTGCGGAGGTTACAGCTGGTGATGGTTTGACGTTTGGGGGGAGGTGTTTGAGGACGGGGAGACGGAGAACGTAATGAGGTTGTGGTCAGAGAGAGGGAAAGGGGTGTTAGTGAGGTTGTGGGGGGTGCAGAGATGGGGGAGAAAACAAGGTCCAGGGTGTTCCCGTCGGAGTGGGTGGAGGACTGTGTACACTGTGTGAGTGCAAAAGAATAGGTTAGGTGGAGGAGTTGGGATGTAGCCGGGTTATTGATGTTGATAGGGATATTGAAGGATGATGGTGGGTAGCTCTGAGGAGAGGAAGAAGGGTAACCAGGCGGAGAAATCGTCGAGGAAGCGGGATACCGGTCCAGGAGGGCCGATAGATTACTGCAATCCTCAGAGGGGTAGGAGAGAATAGTCGGATGCAGTGGGCCTCAAAGGAGGAGAAGGATAGAGGGGGGGGTTTGGGAGGACCTGGAAGGTGCTCGGTGGTGACAAGAGCATGCCAACCCCACCACCTCTACGACGCTTGGTCTGGGTGAATGGGTCCAGACGAGACCTACATAGGAGAGTGGGAGCAGGGGAGGTAGAGTCAGTGGCTTGGACCCAGGTTTCGGTGACCGCTAGGAGGTTGAGTGAGCGGGAGATAAAGAGGTCATGGATGGCGGTGAGCTTGTTGATTCAGGAGTGCACACGAGAATGGAGGGGTGGTTGTGGGGAGCAGGGGGACAGGTATTAGGGTGAGGGGGTTGCAGCAGTTTGTGGAAGTAGGAGGGTGCCTAGTGGGTGAGTGAGGTGGTGAGGGGCCAGGGTTCGGGGAGATGTCCCCGGCGGTTAGAAGAAGGGTGAGAAAGGTGGCATGGGAGCGGGATGTGCAAGAGCGTGTGAGTCTACTAGTGGTGGCGTGTGGGAGAGTGGAGCATAAGGAGGAGGTGGTGAGAGCCGTAGTAGGGAGATGGAAGCAGTGAGGGTGCGATGTATAGTTGTTTTGGAGGAGTAGGAGGGTAGAGAGAGGAGATTTTGGGAATGGAGGAGAGGAGTATGAGGAGGAAGAGTACAGGTGGCATTTTAGGAGGGTAAACGGAGTGGCGGACAGGTGAGGGAGGTGAAAGGTTTCTCAGGGAGCATGGTTGCGGATAGTCCGTCGTGCAGTGGCGTATCACATTGAAGCAGCTTCTTGTAGCAGGAGTTCTAGTGATTAAGATCTGGGTGGATAGAGATCAGTTCAGTGGGTTGTAGATTGCAGGTTCCAGTTTGCGTGAGTCCAAGATTGGAAGGTTATGAGGGGGGTCGTCGGGTGGGCTTCAGGTCAGGGCCGGGTTGATCATCCAGTGGGCACAGGAGGTCCAGGATGGTAGACCTCAACGAGGCAGGGTTGTTTCTCCGGGGGCAGGGTTGCTCGCCAAGTCTACTTTGGGGGTGAATAGAAGGGCCTCGGGTCAGGGTCGGGCCGCGTAGGCTGTGGCAGGTCTCGCTACTCACGGGGGTAGGCAGGAGGGCCTCAGGTCCGGGTCCAGCCTTGTTGTGGAAGGCTGAGTCGAGTCTCGCAGGCCGGGTTCATCTGTGGGTTCAGGAGGAGAAGGAGATGGGGACTGCAGGCTCACGGTTGTGGGGAGCGTGCCATCGTGGGTCTTGGCGATCTTTTAGACTGCAGGCTCACTGCTGGGTGGATTGTCGGAGGAGCGTGCAGGGGTAGGCCGCGGTAGGCCTCGCCAGGCCGGGTGCTGTAGTTGCCTTGGAGGGGGGGACTGGGTGACACTGCCCCACCCTCCAGGTGCGTGTGAGATTAGGGGGGTCTTCACTGCTCGCCTTCAATCGATTTTGGTGCGGTGGGAGAGTGGCGGGCGGCCGGATATTCTGCTGTAGGCCGCGTGCTTGGTCAGCGCAGGCTGCTCCCCTCCAGGTGTGGGTAGGGTAGGGGAGGCCTTCAGAGCTCGCCATGTTGCTGGGTGCTGGTTGCTTTTATGCCTGTTTGCTGGGTGCAGGGTGGCCTGGAGTGGCCCCTGCGTGCCGGCTGCTGGCTGGGTGCTTGTTGTTGGCGGTGGCCTGGAGTGGCCCCTGGGCCACTTTAACCTGATTTCCTACGGGACAGGTTCACATCTCCGCTTTTTCACCCTCTGCGTTTTGTAAAAAGGGTCAGGGACTTTTTTTAAATGCAAAATGTTGCGTTTTTAGTTCTATAGACTTTAACGGAGATGCTGCAGAAAAGCATGTAGTGCGCTTTTGCCGCGTTTTTTATGCATTTTAATCTGCTCAGCAACAAGCTGGGAGAAAAAAAAAAACGCAAAACGCATCAGAGACTCCGCTCTCTCTTGGTTCTCGTCCTATCTATCCCAACGCTCCTTCAGCGTTGTTCCTACAACGCGCCACCTCCTCTTCCCTCCCCTCTCTGTTGGGGTCCCCCAGGGCTCTGTCCTTGGACCCCTTCTCTTCTCCATCTACACCTCCTCCCTTGGCAAACTCATACACTCCCACGGCTTCAACTACCACCTCTATGCTGATGATACTCAAATCTACCTATCCACCCCTCACCTCACCCCCACATTCTCCGCCCGCATCACTCACCTCCTAAACGACATCTCTGACTGGATGTCGCTCCATTTCCTCAAACTCAACCTCTCCAAAACCGAGCTTCTCGTCTTTCCCCCTTCCCGTGACCCCCCCCCCCCCCATCCTTTCCATCACTACCAACAACACCACCATCAATCCCGCCCAGCAAGCCAAGGTCCTTGGCGTCATTCTGGACTCAAACCTTTCCTTCCAACCTCATGTCAAATCACTCACAAATACATGCAGGCTCCACCTTCGCAACATCGCCAAAATACGCTCCTTCCTTACCCCAGACACCACTAAACTACTCGTTCACTCCCTGATTATCTCACGCCTGGACTACTGCAACTCCCTCCTCATCGGCCTACCCCAGTGCAAACTCTCCCCGCTTCAGACCATCCTGAACTCAGCTGCCAGACTCATCCACCTCACCAGCCGCTCCACCTCTGCCACCCCCCCTCTGCCTCTCCCTCCACTGGCTCCCCATTGCCCAACGCATTAAATTCAAACTGCTCACTCTGACCTATAAAGCCATTCACAACACTGCCCCTAACTACCTCACCGACCTGATTCCCAAGTACCACCCTACCCGTACCCTTCGCTCTTCACAGGACCTCCTTCTATCTTGCTCCCTGGTCTCCTCCTCCCACGCACGACTGCAAGACTTCTCCAGGTCCTCCCCCATCCTCTGGAACTCACTACCCCAATCCATCAGACTGTCACCTTCCCTCCTCACCTTCAGGCGCTCCCTGAAAACCCACCTCTTCAGGGAAGCCTACCCCACGCTCACCTAACAGCCGCTGCCCTTCCCTCCTCCTACCACTCCATCCCCCACAGCCATTTCTCCTGTACCTCTACCCCCTCCCTCCTAGATTGTAAGCTCAAAAGAGTAGGGCCCTCTTACCTCTTGTGTGCTGTTTGATGTTACTGTACTGTTTCATGTATTGTCCCCCCCTATTGTACAGCGCTGAGCAAACCCTTTGGCGCTATATAAACTCGATAAATAAATAAATAAATAAATAAAACGAGGCAAAAAACAAACAAAAAGCACTGCAGAAACGGATCAAACGCAAACTGCATAGGTGTGAACCTAGAATACATCAACCCCATTGTGTCTTTGTGAGGAAAGGAGAGCCGATAACCAGCCAGACTGACAGTACATTGTTTACTCTGTTATTCAGGGCATTGATCGTCAGTGACCCGGTCATCAGTGCAGCCCCAGCAGTGCAACTTATTTGTGCCCCTCAGTGCCGCCTACCAGTGCCCATCAGTGCTGCCTATTAGTGGCCATCTGTGCAGCCTCATCAGTGTCCATCAGTGCCCATAGCTGAAACCCAATCAGTGCCCAATAATTCACATCAGTGCAGCCTCATCAGTGCCCATCAGTGCAGCTTATCAATGCCCTTCAGTGCCACCTCAGTGTCCATCAGTGCCACAGGTGCAGCCCCATCAGTGCCCATTAAGTCACATCAGTGCAGCCTCATCAGTGCCCATCAGTGCATCTTATCAGTGCCACCTCAGTGCCCATAGGTACAGCCCTATCAGTGCCCATTAATACACATCAGTGCAGCCTCATCAGTGCCCATCAGTGTAGATGATCAGTACCCCTCAGTGCCTCCTCAGTGTCCATCAGTGCCCATAGGTACAGCCCTATCAGTGCCCATTAATTCACATCAGTTCAGCCTCATCATTGCCCATCGATGCAGCTTATCAGTGCCACCTCAGTGTTCATTGGTGCGCATAGATGCAGCCCCATCAGTGCCCATTAATTCACATCAGTGCAGCCTCATCAGTGCCACCTCAGTGCCCATAGGTGCAGCCCCATCAGTGCCCATTAATTCACATCAGTGCAGCCTCATCAGTGCCACCTCAGTGCCCATAGGTGCAGCCCCATCAGTGCCCATTAATTCACATCAGTGCAGCCTCATCAGCGCACATCAGCCAAGAAGAAAAATTACTTACTTGCAAAATTTTATAATAGAATCTAAGAAATATATATATTTTTTTTTTCAATTTTTGTTTTTTTTTGTTTTTTTTAGCAAAAATTAAAAACCCCAGTGGTGATTAAATACCACCAAAAAAAGCTCTATCTAAAAAAAATGATAGCATTTTTATTTGGATACAGTGTTGCATGACCGCGCAATTGTCACTCACTGCTCATGCACACAGGGCGTTTGTACAGCGGCTGTCTTTGGCTTTTGGCGTTTTTTTCCACATTGTCCATCCCCCGGCCTATGTGTCCATCCCGGCATGTTAAATCCCCCCATGCATGTTATGTCCATCCCCGGCATGTTATCCTATGTGTCCATCCCCGGCATGTTATGTTATCCTATGTGTCCATCCCCGGCATGTTATCCTATGTGTCCATCCCCGGCATGTTATCCTATGTGTCCATCCCCGGCATGTTATCCTATGTGTCCATCCCCGGCATGTTATCCTATGTGTCCATCCCCGGCATGTTATCCTATGTGTCCATCCCCGGCATGTTATCCTATGTGTCCATCCCCAGCATGTTATCCTATGTGTCCATCCCCGGCATGTTATCCTATGTGTCCATCCCCGGCATGTTATCCTATGTGTCCATCCCCGGCATGTTATCCTATGTGTCCATCCCCCGGCATGTTATCCTATGTGTCCATCCCCGGCATGTTATCCTATGTGTCCATCCCCGGCATGTTATCCTATGTGTCCATCCCCATGTTATCCTATGTGTCCCATGTTGTTATCCTATGTGTCCATCCCCGGCATGTGTGGTATATCCATGTTATTCCTGTGTCCATCCCCGGCGTGTTATCCTATGTGTCCATACCCCCCCGGCGTGTTATCCTATGTGTCCATCCCCGGCATGTTATCCTATGTGTCCATCCCCGGCATGTTATCCCTGTGTGTCCTATGTGTCCATCCCGGCATGTTATCCTATGTGTCCATCCCCGGCGTGCATGTTATCCTATGTGTCCATCCCCGGCATGTTATCCTATGTGTCCATCCCCGGCATGTTATCCTATGTGTCCATCCCCGCATGTTTCCTATGTGTCCTCCCGACATGTGTCCTATGTGTCCATCCCCGGCATGTTCTCCTATGTGTCCATCCCCGGCATGTTATCCTGTGTGTCCATCCCCTGTGTGGCATGTTATCCTGTGTGTCCATCCCCCGGCATGTTATCCTGTGTGTCCATCCCCGGCCTCCTATGTGTCCATCCCCGGCATGTTATCCTGTGTGTCCATCCCCGGCGTGTTATCCTGTGTGTCCATCCCCGGCGTGTTATCCTATGTGTCCATCCCCGGCGTGTTATCCTATGTGTCCATCCCCGGCGTGTTATCCTATGTGTCCATCCCCGGCGTGTTATCCTATGTGTCCATGTCCATCCCCGGCATGTTCTCCTATGTGTCCATCCCCGGCATGTTATCCTACGTGTCCATCCCCGGCATGTCATCCTATGTGTCCATCCCCGGCATGTTATCCTATGTGTCCATCCCCGGCATGTTCTCCTATGTGTCCATCCCCGGCATGTTATCCTATGTGTCCATCCCCGGCATGTTCTCCTATGTGTCCATCCCCGGCATGTTCTCCTATGTGTCCATCCCCGGCATGTTCTCCTATGTGTCCATCCCCGGCATGTTCTCCTATGTGTCCATCCCCGGCAACGTTTTTTGGCTGGATAATAACCCCATAACTAGTGGGTTTCTAGAAGAGTTTTTTTGCTGTAAAAACACTCTAATGCTGAAAAACCAATAAAATGCTGCAAACCGGCATTTTTAGTTGTCTTTTCTTTTTTACTAGCAAAAACTTGTGTAAAAAATGCAAACGCAGAAAAATGCGGCTACACGAGAAAACGCTAAAAAAGAGCTGAAAAACTCGTGTTTTTTTAACACGACTTTGCATAGCTAACGCTATCAGTGTTATTAAAATGCCCCGTGAGCCTCAAAGTGCGACAACAGTGAAAGCTGAAAAGTAGCCGGGCAGGAAGGGGGTGAAATTGCCTGGTATTGAAGTGGTTAAAGCTCACTCTTTACGTTGTATATGCATCCTATTCACTTTGGCGTTTGTTGCATCTCAGCACTGCGGATCTCCTGCAGCCTCTTTGCAGCCACTTCCCGTCTATACGCACTCCAGCAATGGCTAATGTGATATAAGCAGAAACAGAGCGACTCCTCGTGTAGTAACTCTATAATGCTCAAAAACAAAGAGGAAAATCACTAAATCAAGTGTTGACACCACATGTGTATAGAAAAACATATTGTAGGCAACTGGCCATCCCTTACTCATTACTATGGAGGGGGAGTACCTGAGTACACCTTATAATAAAGTGTTTCTAAAATCAGGACTCTGCATTCACTATATCCGCTCTCCCCGGACCCTGCATTCACTATATCTGGTCTCCCCGGACCCTGCATTCACTATATCTGGTCTCCCCGGACCCTGGCATTCACTATATCCGCTCTCCCCGGACCCTGCATTCACTATATCCGCTCTCCCCGGACCCCGCATTCACTATATCATCTCTCTCCCGGACCCCGCATTCACTATATCTCTCCCCGGACCCTGCATATCCGCTCTCCCCGGACCCCGCATTCACTATATCCGCTCTCCCCGGACCCCGCATTCACTATATCCGGTCTCCCCGGACCCCGCATTCACTATATCCGCTCTCCCCGGACCCCGCATTCACTATATCCGCTCTCCCCGGACCCCGCATTCACTATATCCTCTTTCCCCGGACCCCGCGTTCACTATATCCGGTCTCCCCGGACCCTGCATTCACTATATCCGGTCTCCCCGGACCCTGCAGTCACTATATCCGCTCTCCCCGGACCTGCATTCACTATATCCGCTCTCCCCGGACCCCGCATTCACTATATCCGCTCTCCCCGGACCCCGCATTCACTATATCCTCTTTCCCCGGACCCGCGTTCACTATATCCGGTCTCCCCGGACCCCGCATTCACTATATCCGGTCTCCCCGGACCCTGCATTCACTATATCCGATCTCCTCGGACCCTGCATTCACTATATCCGCTCTCCCCGGACCCTACATTCACTATATCCGGTCTCCCCCGGACCCTGCATTCACTATATCCGCTCTCCCCAGACCCCGCATTCACTATATCCTCTCCCCGGACCCTGCATTCACTATATCCGGTCTCCCCGGACCCTGCATTCACTATATCTGCTCTCCCCGGACCCTGCATTCTCTATATCCGGTGTCCCCAGACCCTGCATTCACTATATCCTGTCTCCCCGGACCCTGCATTCACTATATCCGGCTCTCCCCGGACCCTGCATTCACTATATCCGCTCTCCCCGGACCCTGCATTCACTATATCTGCTGTCCCCGGACCCTGCATTCACTATATCCTCTCCCCAGACCCTGCATTCACTATATCCGCTCTCCCCGGACCCTGCATTCACTATATCTGCTCTCCCCGGACCCTGCATCTCACTATATCCGGTGTCCCCGGACCCTGCATTGCACTATATCCACTCTCCCCGGACCCTGCATTCACTATATCCGCTCTCCCCGGACCCTGCATTCACTATATCTGGTCTCCCCGGACCCTGCATTCACTATATCCGCTCTCCCCTGGACCCTGCATTCACTACCCTGCATTCACTGTATCTGTTCTCCCCAGAATGAAAAATCATTCGGAATTCGACCCATGTATGGCCTGCTTTAGTCCTAGTGGAGGCTTAGCAGCACATGTGGGCGTTACAAAACAGCTTTCTGTTTTTAATCCTCCCGATACAGATGCAGCTGCTGGGATCCCTCTTCCATTACAGTAATGCGCCCCCTAGCGGCCACTCCAGGTTGTTAAGTTTCGGTCACACTGGTGCGATTTGAAATCACACCTGAAGTTGCATCTGCTGAATGTGAATGTCAGTGTCCTAACCTGTGCGATTTGCTGCAGCACGATTTCTAAAATAGTTCTTGCATGACTTTTTCTGCAGTTTTGTCACGATTTCACATACATAAATATAATGGAAATCGCGCTGCAAATTGGAAGAAATCGTTGAAAATATTCACACGTAGCAATAAAGTCAGAAATCGCACCTGAAAATGCACGCAAATCGAGTGACTTGTAGCCTCCCTGGGGGTATTCCCGAGTGTAGCTCGGGGTAAAGTTTCAGCACCACAAGCGGTGACCCCGAACTACACTCAGGAATACACTGCAGCGTTGCTCCGGGATCTCTTCTTCACTTACCTTGTCCTGCGCTCCTGCAATGTCCCCCCTGCAGTGTCCCCTGTAATGTCCTCCAGCGGATGTCGGCATCTGTCTTCTGGGTTCCGTCTCCTGCGACGTCGGGACGTACGGGGACGGAACTGGCGGGAAATTTGAAAATTTTGAAAAGTGACATTCACTAAATACACTAAAATCACATAGTATAACATTCCTGTATCAAAACCATTTCACATACATTTTGTCCCGACTGCTTTGTCCGGCGCCCTGCCTGCATTTTTACTGTTCTTTCTGCCTGGAAACTGAGAAACGTCCATGGCGTCCAAAAAGCGTCCCTTTAGGTCTCAAAAGCGGTTTTAGACCGGCTAGAGAACAGCGATAGTAAATCAGAACCACTTGCAGAATTGAGTGATAATGATTCGTGGGGGAAATTCCTCATCAGACACTGAAAACGATTCTGCGACTGAGCTCAGTGATGTGCGAACTTGGCGCTATATTTCACATTTCAGTGTTTTTGGTTTGATTACATTATTGAATTACATTTATTAAGTGTTCTTGCAGAACCCTCATTGTTATCTCACAAATATATTCTTATTTTTATTCTTATTATAGCAAAATTTACCCCCCTAACTCCTCCCAGTTTTTACACTACATAGACAGTAATATACCGAAACGTGCGGATTGTTCCCGATCGGATTGCTATTACTTTGTGGAACGTTTCGCGGAACGTTTCACGAAATATCTCGGTTTTTGTGGTGAAATTTTCCCATAGGAATGAATGGAGCAACTAGAGTGGGAGCTGACAAAGCTAGAGTGGGAGCTGAAAAATCAGGACATGATTTGTAAACTGCCATCACTCCCTCATTTTCAAGCCCACCTACACATATCTTATATCAAAACATTCAGCTATCCCTGCTGCCACTAAAAATGTCCACAGCTAAGCCATAGTCCTGACAGTTTTCACAATATGACCATTTGTTTGCAACTTACGTCGCCCATTTTCATTCATTGAATCTCCACTCTAGACACCTGAAATTTGAAGTGACATTTCTAAACTGTGACTGTGCCTTCATGTTTAGAATTTCAGAGACATACTATGCAACAAAATGTAGGTCTGGGTCTTGTGAGTCTCACAATATATAAAGCTCTTTGCTGTAGCATTTATACTTTTAAAACTACAACCGTTTGAAGATGGCAACCGCCAGTGAACTGAGCAAGTTGGAGCAGTTTGTTTATAAAAGCTCCTCTCAGCTTGCTGTGAGTGAGTTGCCATAGCAACCGAAGGTGAGTCAGCAGGCAGCAGCAGAGTGACCAAAGCTAGACTGTGAGCTGCAAAATAAAAGTTCAAATGCATTTCTCACTCTATCAAGCTTGCCATGTGCACTGCTTACATTTCATCAATCAATTGGTTAGTGTAATGTTCACTATCTTTACTCACTCCAAACACTCCACACAGTTACTCCGCCCACTCCATAAAGTTACTCTGCCCAGTCCAACCTTTTCACAGTTACTCCAGCCACTCCCAACAGTTACTCCAGCCACTCCACCCCACACAACAGTTACTCCACCCACTCCAACCACACAACAGTTACTCCGCCCACTCCAACCACACAACAGTTACTCCACCCACTCCAACCCACAATAGTTACTCCACCCACTCCAACCACACAACAGTTACTCCACCCACTCCAACCCCAGTCCAACAGTTACAGTTACTCAGCCACTCCAACCACACAACAGTTACTCCAGCCACTCCAACCACACAACAGTTACTCCACCCACTCCAACCACACAATAGTTACTCCAGCCACTCCAACCACACAATAGTTACTCCAGCCACTCCAACCACACAACAGTTACTCCAGCCACTCCAACCACACAACAGTTACTCCAGCCACTCCAACCACACAATAGTTACTCCAGCCACTCCACCAACAACAGTTACTCCAGCCACCCACCACACCAACTCCACACTCCAACCACACAACAGTTACTCCAGCCACTCCAACCACACAATAGTTACTCCAGCCACTCCAACCACACAACAGTTCCAGCCACTCCAACCACACAATAGTTACTCCCACTCCAACCACACAACAGTTACTCCGCCCACTCCAACCACACAACAGTTACTCCGCCCACTCCAACCACACAACAGTTACTCCACCACTCCAACCACACAACAGTTACTCCACCCACTCCAACCACACAACAGTTACTCCACCCACTCCAACCCCACAATAGTTACTCCAGCCACTCCAACCACACAACAGTTACTCCGCCCACTCCACCCAGTTACTCCGCCCACTCCAGTTGTAGACTACTGGTGGAGGCAAGAACACTTCACACAATTTCCCCAGAAATTGTAGCTTTTCTAGTT